GCTGATTCAGAAGCGCCAGATTGTCATAGCAAAGTCAGAATTACCTCCTCTCCTAGGTTCACGAAACGGTCGTCCATAAAATGCATTGCTGTTCTGTTGTAAGTAATCTTAAAGATTCCTAAATGCATCTACTTTCGGAAGGCCAAATAAAGTGCTTTTGCTTTCGCCTAGAAACACACAGCGTCTCCCTGACATGGCTGCTTCAACACTAACCGCGGTTACTGAAACCACGCCTTCTTTCTTTGCGTGAACATTTGGGCGGCATTATGCAAATATTTCCACATAGTGAGGTAGATATGTGGGGGCGTGTTAGAACGAGCCATTATAGGGGGGTGTGGCAGAGTCTTAACTTTGATAAAGAATATCTCTTTGGTTTTGAGACTTTAGTCTTTGCAACTTCAGGGGTCTTATCTATGCACAATCAGCTTGTAACACTCCAAAGAGAAAGGAAAACTTGAAATCGCATCATATGACCCCTTTAAGACTTGCTATTTACATTAAAATATATTATGTATATTTAAATTTTTCTTACGTGGTGGAATTGAAATTTTTGCAGCTATCTGTCAGTATGTGGTCTTTGTTTTTTTTACTCTGTAGGATGTTTTCTGCTCTGAAACGTATATAGAATGTTTTTATAGTTCTTTTTGGAGAACTTTATTTCACATTATAAGACTCCTTTATTATCTACAAAGTGGATGTGGGCCCAGCACAAGGAAAATGAAGAGAAACACACCTTAAAACTAGTGGTGATGGAAGCAAACTTGTTGTCTGCTGTCTCAGGATTTCCAATGAGGTAATCCCAACTAGTAAATGTCTTCCAACTGAAATTAAAGCTGGTGTCATCTCCGCCACCTTCTTCATTGGCATTGCGGGCCATACTGTTGGGTAAGAGTGAGAAAATCAGTAAAGAAATGTTTTGTCTGTGGACTAAGTGGTAGAAAGGTACTTCTAGACACTCAATAAAGGTTTCTGATATGGACTGTCATCACTCACGTCCTGATTACCACCATGTAGCTATATGCCACTGTACCCACTCCCACCAGGAAGTAGGACAGGGGCAAGCGGAATTTGAGCCACCCAATGGCCCGCTGGCTATTGTAGTAGCCATAGAAGAGGACAGAGTACTTAGCATAGCCCTGAAAAAGACAAAAACATGTTTTGGACTAGGATGCAACGTAAATTGTGCGTGGTACCGTACTGTTCAAAAGTTGGAGTCGGTAAGCTTTTGTAATGTCTTTGAAAGAAGTCTCTTTTGCTCACCATAGCTGCATTTATTTCATCAAAAATACAGTAAAAACAGTAATATTGTGAAATATTATCGCAATTTAATATAAATGTTTTCTATTTTAATATATTTTAAATTTTAATTTATTTCTGTGTTGGCAAAGCTGATGCTTTAATGTCACTTTTGATCAATTTAATGCATCCTTGCTGACTAAAAGAATATATTTCTTTCAAATAAAAAATCTTACTGACCACAAACTTTTGAACGGTAGGCATAATCATATAGACTTACCCCAAAATCCCATAAGATTGCAAAATTCATAGCACTGGCCTCTTCCTCTCTGGGCACTGTCTTCCTGGGTATACTACCATATGGTTTCCCCATAAGAGCCTGGAAGGTGAATGAGAATGTGACAGGTTATATTTCATGAAATAACTTTTCATGTTGTCTTTGTTACTAATATGTAATTTTTAACTTTGAAGGACTGAATATGTTTCTCACCTCTGGAACCATTACTAGCCCAAACGTCAGTCCAAATAAAATCATATTGATGCCATACATCCACCTCAGAAATATAAAGTAAGAGGCAACTGATGAACCAAAATGACCTATAAGAAGATAAAATAGAGTTTGTTTAGAGATGAGGGAAAAAACAGCAGGAGAGAGAAGGAAGCTCAAACTGAGAAGTGTCACACTTTCTATTTCCTTTATCTTCATCTCCCATGGGATGCAGGCAGTCTTGAAGTTCTCAAAGTCACGTTGAAACTTCATCCATTTCTGACAATTAGAGTAATAAAGAAAACTAATGATGACTCTAAAGCTGTAGAAGGATATATTCAGTTCTATCAATTTAATAATGATCATCTCCTCACCTTCATGATCATGACCTTGTAGGCGTAGAGTTTCCTGCCTTTGCCTTTTCCCAGAGCCCCTTCATATTTCTCCACAAACTCCTGTGACTCCCTGAGACAGAACACAACTCGCTGGCATTATGAAAGCTGGTGTACACATGTGCTAAAACAGCAGTGACGGGACGCACCTAAGGACAACTAGTTTTTTCTTCATGGGCCAGGGTTTTCCTCTCATTGTGGCGATTAGCTTTTTCCTTTCATCCACTGCTTCTTTTAACTTTTCCAGCTCCTCTGGGGTCAGAGAACCCAAAACTCCCACTGCCTGATTGTCCTTTGACTCGGGGGCAGAGTCCGATTCAGATTTGGACTCAGATTCTGAGCTAGGAGGGAGAAATAAATGCAGTTATGTTGAGTGGGATTCAAATATCTGAGACCACAAATGGGATTGCTTCTGCTTTGTATTTTTCCAATTTAATATAACATTTCCATTACAAATTATATTAATAGCAACACAATTTGAGAGAAAAGCTGAAATGAAAAATTCCTGAAAAATGTTGAATTTACTCTATATTGATTTAATGCAAAATGTTTTAATAATAAAATAAGATTAAAACATGAATATTAAATAATGTTCCTTATTTAACGTCATTTAAAAAAATCCAACAAGCTAAACATATTTAGATAAACTTATTTAAACACACTTTCCAGGTTTTATTGTTTTAAAAAAACTGATTTTTTTAATGTGATTTCAAACTTTTAGACTCCATCTAGTCCATAATATTGTAATGAGTGGTAAAAGAATACAAACTTACGTAGTCTCTGGCTTCTTTCTTTTCTTTTTCTTTTCCTTCAGTGGCATGTCATGACAATCTTTCTGTTTTGTCTTTCCAGAATTTGCATTGTCCTCCTCATTTTTAACATGCTTCTTTCTCTTTTTCTTCACATCTTTTTCCTTCTCATCATCACGTCTCAGTGTCTTGGTTCTTTCATTTTTAATGTTCTTTTTCTCTTTATTGGATTCTTCCTCAGCCTCCTCTTCATCTGCATTCTTTCTTCTTTGCCTTTTTTCATGTTTCTCACCCTCTTTCCTTGCTGTTTTGTGGCGTTTCTCATGTTTCTTCTCTGCTCTTTTAGTGTCCACCTCAGTTGTTCTCTTCTCTGAAGCTCTTCTCCTGCTCACTTCACCATTTCTCTCTCTTCTCCGTTTGCCATCTCGCGTTGTCTGCTTCTCCTGACCTCCCTGAGAGTTTTCCTCCACTTCCACGTAGTAAAGGCTGAATTCATTATCCTTCCCTACAAAAAAAAATGTTTTTAGATAGATTAACATACAGTACAAAATAAAAACACATATTAAAAATGCATGCAGAAAGTCAATCTTCCTACCTACATCCACCTCAATGCTCACTGTAAAAGGCAAACAAAACAAGACATTGGTAAGAAGACATTGTTAAGACCTGAAAGGTCAGACATGCAAGGCTCCCAGCAGCTGTTTAGCGTCTTTTGTATTGTTTGTGACCAGAGTGTAACCAGACCGGTAAGTGCTGACCGGATCATTACATGCTTATAGTTGTGTTGTACAATAGACACAATGATGCTTTTCATCGTCAGTGTCAGTGTCCTCTCACAGGGGTCAAAGGGCAATAGATCGAAAGTAATGTTCATAAGTTCACATACACACATTTTAGCTGCATGACCACCCTGGCATTCAGCACAGCTGAAATATGAATAAGTCAATAGTTTTGTATCAAAATGAAATTACCTAGAAAATTATCATTCATATTCAGGCATTAAATATAAATTGCCTTTCAAGTGAATAAACCATTCAAACAATTTTATCAGAATCAAAAATCATCAGATTTTTAAATATTGAGGCAGACTGTGGAATGTAAAAGTACAGTTGTCTTTGCTAATCTAGCGGCTAATCTAAATAATATTATTATTTTATTTTTATTAATAATATTATTATTAATAATAAATTGCGATTCATTTCTAATGATAAAAAAATCAGTTGTCAGTCATGTGAATAAAGTATGATAAACACACATAGAAATACACATAGAAAGTAATAATCATCTTTACCGTCACTTTCAGATGCGATGAGTTTATGCCGTGGCATCCTCCTCCCAAGTGGACTTCACTCTGTGCATGTGGATGACATCACGTGTGTGTGAGTCCATGCATACGTGAGTGTGTGTGCGATGATGTTGTAGCAGTGGACCATGCCCTGACTGAACAGAACCTGGCGGGTGATGAGTACCGTGCATGAAGAGTTCACGTTTTACTAGCATTCAGCGACCTTGCCCAGGAACAATAACCAGTCGAAACGCTAGAGCCTCTCAATTTCACCCCTTTGAATTATTCAACAGAATTATGACTCTCTTTTTTTTTTTTCAAAAAGAAAGGGGGTCACACAGTAGGCTACCAAGCCAAAATAGAGGATGATGGTCTAATGACTGACTATAGAAAGCGCAAAGAGGGAGATAACAGATGATGAGTGCCGCAGGGTAACCAGGGTCATTGTGAGCAGTGCTTTCACTTATAGTGCAAAAGTTACTCTAAAAACAATAAAAAGCTTGATTTCGCAGGAAATGTTACAATCATTATAAAATCATAGCGTTCAGATGCTAAAGGAATGACATTCGTGTAGAAAATAAGATTTTAGATATTAAGATTGTAAAAGAATACATACATAAAATACTAAATGACATGCTAAACTACTACAGAGCAATGCAGTGTCACTGCAGTTTATCTAACCGTGTACAGTATCTGGCACATTAGAGCCAAAGCTGCTATACAATAAAGACTTAAAGCAGAAAGTCTGGAAGTGTCTCCGGAGAAATTAATAGGAAGATAAATTTTACTCGTATATGCCTGAGGTGCCCTGCAGGATTGTGCTCCACAGAACGGAAGAAGCATAGAAGTAGAGATATTAGATGTATGGGAAAGGAGACATTGGGTTCTATAAATAGATCTTGATATGGTTGCCGTATTTATAGATAACTGAATCTTATTAAGCTTGTCTATATTTGTCATTATGGTTCTAAATGATCCCAACAACATTTAATTATAGGAATTTGATAACAGTAGGCTATAGCATGGCGCTATAACACAAGGGTCATGGGTTTGATACCTAAGGAATGCATGAACTTATTGAAAAAAACAAAAACAAAACTTGAATGTAGTGTTGTAAGTCATTTTGGCTAAAAACATCTGCCAAATATATAAATAATGTAAACAGAAAATATTAAAGAACATAATAATAAAAATTACCCTATCAGAAACGTTACTGAGACCAGAAGGTAGTGGTGACCTTGTGGTTAAGGCTTTGGGACGCTAACACTATTCCCTATTGTTGATCAACCAATAAATTGGAGAGTAACTGAGTGAACCTTGTCATTATTACATCTTTAAAATAGGTATTTAACCTCTGCTTGCTCAGGGGATTTCTCCTATTTCTTTCTGCAGTTAATGTAAGGAAGCTCAATGCATGCGATAGCTAACAAAGAAGTGAGGCTTAAGTATCTCCAAAGCACTTGAATCCAACAACAACAGTATTTGTGGATTCCTTTATTGCTGTTACAAATCCTGACCACCTGATGTCACTAAAGGTAAACATTTGAGGCTGTCCTGTTGAAATGAATGAGAAATCTAGGGGAATTCAGATGATGTCAGGCTGCATGGGATTTTCAATGTTTGACCCATTTCTTGAGCACATTACCCTCCCAATAAGCAGGTATTTGTATTCATGCAGTGTATTCGTGCATATTATGTCAATGTCTGTCTGTCTGTGTGTGTGTGATTCTGGTCGCCGTGATTTTGCCAAGTAAGACATGTTCCTGGATCAACATCTTTTGTTTATCCTGGATCAACATTACTGTCCAAAAATATAGACTAAACCCAATCCCTACCCCTAAACCTAACCCTACCCATCATTTATTCTTAAAATCAGTGTGAAATGATAACTGATTACCAAGGGTGTAGAAGCACCTAACCCTGATCATAAGCCTACAACAGATATTTCCTGAAAAGTTATCCCTCAATTCTGATTGGTTAATTGGAATGTTGTTCCAGGATCAACAAGGATGTTGATCCAGGAGCATGTTGTACTTGGTGAAATCACGGTCACCGTGTGATTCCATGGGCTTGAGTGTCTATCTTTGTACTTGTGTTGTCGCCCTGCAGAGAGCTAGATTGTTTTCCTCGGCTAAGTTTAGCAGCACCGTTTGGGGATTCCAACTTCGGAGAACTGACACAGGCCATAACTGTATTCTGAGCATGTCTTCTTCTCTCTTCCTCATTCTCTCAGCCACTGGCACACCTTTGATCCACACAAAATGTTCCGTTGTGGATGCTATTTTTTCAACTCATGTCCTAAAGAAAAAGGTCTTTCAGATATGTTAACAGTATCAGAACAGGAGAATCAAACATTTTTGACCATTACAATCAAATCTACAGTACATTTACAGTACAAATAATGCTAATGAGAACATAAAAAGCTATTTAGTGTCAATAGACAAAACTAAAATGATGAGCTGGCAGCTTTCATTTGGACAAAAATCTGTTGTGAGTCACAGTCTAATGTTGTCATCAGACAAAACCGCCATCAGGTAATCATGTGAGCCAATGATGAGCTGCATTCCATTACTCTGAAGAATCCTACAGTCAGGATATTTAATACACTCTGGGTGGATGAAGGTTTATATTTATAGAAGGGCTGGTGCCTCACACGTTTTAATTCAGCCCGTCTTCTCGGTATTGCCTGTGCAGGAAAAGAAAAGAGTGGTTTGACTGGAAAGAATTTTAGCATGATTCATTTCTATTTTGCACTCTTCTATATCCATTTGCTCATGGCGGGAACAAAACACTTGTGACAGGGACATTTTAGTACTGAGCCTGTGATTAAATCTGGATTTACAAGTGTTGCCTGGTTTGCTTGTTTACATCTCATTGGTGATAAAGGACTAAATATTTTCACACTTACGCCTGCTGACTGGATTATACTGCGCTCAGCCAACTTTCCTCTGAATGTTTGTTCATTCAACAAATTTGTTTTGTTATTGAACTTGGTTATAAATTATTTTAAACAGAATCAAGACATGAATGAAGCTGTAGAGTTCCTAATTATGACAGGATTCAGTAGCCTTTGACTGAAGACGGATCAATAAAAATAATTTTGCTTAAGCGGAAAATATCAAATGCATAGATGTAATTGCTGAAGCCATATTTTAAAATGTCAACAGCTACAAGCAGGGTCTCTTATGTAAAAGCAGAATTAAAACACTGATACTATGAAAAACTGTCAGAATACTGGGTACTTTTGAGCAAATGAACCAAATTTCCCTTAAGGAAGAACAGAGTAGAGAGGTAGAGGTAGAGAGGGAGGGCACTGACCTGACATAAAGTCAAAGTATACTTGAAACAACTACAAGGGAAGGAAGGAGCTGTCAAAATAAAGTGGGACAACTGACGGAAATCAAGACTTCAACAGCGCATCTTATCGATTTAAATACATTCCATCACTCTAGAATACTAGCAATGTGATATTACCTCATGGGTACTGGTGTTACCTCACTGCAGTGTTGTTTTAAAATATCAGTGTTAGTTTTAATTAACACTGATATTAATATCAATATTTATACTGAATTAGTTATATATATTTTCATTTTAATTCATTAACGTTTTAGTAATTTTGTGTTTTTGTAATTTTTATTAGTTTTTCATGTCTATAGTATTTTATTTTCTTTATTTTAGTATCAAGTTAAACTAAATGAAAATGATAAATGTTGCCTTCACACCTAACTGAAAAAAATACATTTTATTTAGGCCTACATTTATTTCAGTAACATGCCATGTTTTATGTGTGTGTGTGTTTTTTTTTAGTTAACTGTCAAAACCTTGCCTGTAGACAGCATTCTGTCATTCCATCATTTTGATTAACAAATTATTATATTGCCTATAGTCTAACAAGTTTCATTCCTGTCACCTCATGAAGACTAAGCAGAGTATTTCTGTATGGGTGTTTCTGTGGAGATAATGCAATATAAGCTCATTAGATCATCACTGCCTTAAGGTGAAAACACACTGAGTGTTAGTGTTTATGTTTCTGATGCTGTTATGGGTCAACACACTTGAGACAATGGCACCAGCAGCTGATAGTCTATGACTCTATTACAACTTTATGGCCCAACTGGCCTCATACGTCAGAATGCTGTTCATAGACTTCAGTTCAGCATTACTTTAATCAGTCTGAATAAGCTCTTTTGCACTACAGTCATTATATCTGCACTGTTGTTTACTTCACTGGTTTGCACTCTATCTGCCATGCGCCTTGTGCTGCTTTATATATTTTTTTACATTTTACCTTATTTGTATAATTGTATAGTTGTATTTTATATTTAAATCTGTATCTATCTGTATTTATGTTCTACTGTTAGTGTTATCTGTATGCACCAAGGGTCTGAGAGTAACGCAATTTCAATTCTCTGTGTGCATGTGCTGTACATGTGGAAGAATTGACAATAAAGCAGACTTGACTTGACTTGACAATTGGCAACCTAACAATCACTTTATGGCACAGGAGCATACTTACAACTACAAAATACACTACAACACTACAAAAAATAAATAAATAAAACAATCATGATTGTGATTTTTGTTTTTCAGCTCCGTATTCAGTACATTGGGAGCTTATTTATCACTTAAGAGCATAAATGTAAGGAAGGAAATACTATACACCACAGTTCTGGTTTAAATGTATAATTTCTATTTGTCCACCATGTTTCATGAAATATGAAAAAAATGCACATGCAATCAAGGTCTTCAGGAAACATCCAAGCAGGTGTGAGTTGTAGCTGGTTGGAGCTAAACTCTGCAGAGCTGTGGCCCTCCGGGAATTGAGTTTGAGACCTACTGACATATACACAAAATGGACATTTGAAAGCTTCTGTGAAGTGCATAATGTAAATGCAGTGAGGTTCTGTAAACTCAAGAATTCATGCAGATAAGGCAACATTTTTGGCCTGAATAGGGTGACCTACTGTTATCTATGCATTGCAATAAAAATGCAAAATAACATGGTGTTTGTTTGCCTTGTTCTCATGTTTGACATGGGCTGGGACATCTAAGCAATGACAGACCACAAACATCAGTTTAAATGCAAAACATGCCATGGATTAAGCCATTCCCTTGTACAGCATGTTTGCACACACAACACATGCATGCAAACAACACATACAGTGAGACAAACCAAGTTCAAACTAGTTCAGGCAGGTTTATTTTCCCTAAATTT